GAAGTGGAACCACTATTTTGCATATGCACCCATCATAAAGTTTTAAGTAAGGGGATAGGCTGAAGGCTTCTTTTGAATAAATATTATATACACTCCCAATAAACACATTTAGCACTAACACTGAATTCAGTGGAATGCAGGGAGACTAGCAGGCAGAATAGCAGCCCTGGATATATACTTACTGTTTCTTCCTCTAGATATTTACCATAATGGTGTCTTTTCTCGCACTTCCTCTCTCTGGAAAGTAATGCATGCAATCATTCTCCAAACTTGCTGCTCACCTTCTGCTCTCAAGCCTAAAAGGCTGTCTAATGGGAAGTGTGGGGGGGGGGGAGTCTTCCTTGTCCCAGTGTACTCTATTTCAAAGCTAATATTAATGCTCTTCCCTGTACTTTCTCTCCAGGCAGCGGGAGGTGGGCCACTTCTTGTGAAAAGAATAGCCCCTCTTACAGTGATTGCAGTGAGCTGGGCAGCTCCATGCGAGCCACCTTGACTCAAGGAAAGGAATCATGAGAGCTCCCTTCTCACTAGACAGTGAAGAGAAAGCAGCTTCTCTAAAAGGTATGAGTAAAGTGGAAGGTGACTTACAGCAGCATGTGTGTGCTGGCTGGAGATGCGACCTAGTGAGGTGCTATTCTCACCCACAGCACGAGGCAAGCAGAGTGCTCAGTTCCACTGGCAAGAAGATCAGATCAGTGGGGCTTGAATTATTGCAATGGATTAGTAACTAAGGACTCAGCTTTGGAAAATGAATTGCGATCTTAGTATAAAGCAAGGGAGAGTCCAAAATCTAATTCATACTGCTTCATGAATGAGAAAAACTTGGCTCAAAAGAGTTTTTACATTCAGAATAGACCCCAAAACATCCTGGGAACAATGAACGTGAATGAAATCATACTGGAATTCAAAACACTTTATAATTTGGGTTTCTAAAAATACATCATGTGTACTTTGAAAAAGAGGCCTGATCAAGTAAGTTCCAACACTTAAAATATACACACACTCAAAACGCAAAAGCACAGTCTTCACTGCTGTAGAAAATAGTCACTTTAAAATGTGAGTGTATTCTTGAGGAGTGAGATATATTCGACCAAGTGGCTACATTTTCAAAGAAGTGTAAGAAACTGGTAGTAAAGTTGTAGGCTAGAGGGCTTTAAGACCCCTCAGAATGACCCAGGCCAATGTAAACAACTCAAGCCAAGAAACAGAGAGAAGACTCAACAGAAACCATATGAGCACTGCTTCACTGTGTCTGTGTTCAGGTATGTCACTCACTGATGCACCAAACTAGCTCAGTAATATGCTGAGTGAACTTTGGTGTCTTCTCTAAAACATTGTGCTTCTCTACACACAGAATCTGTGATCATAACAACATGGAGAGGAAGAGACATTGCAATGTTAGTTGGCCTCAAGCCCTGGTGAATTTATTCAGAACAACTCAGGAGACGGGGAAGGAGATCTCGTATTTAGTGTGTAAGAACTATTTGAATGATGTAAACATGATAAGGTAATTATCCATTTCATGAAACAATTTAATGCGGCAATCTACAGACAGAGATGATACCTATACTGTGACTCACTTATTATACTTTTTAAATTTAAACTCATAGTTTTGAGCTAAAAGAAATTCCAAGAAATCTTACATTATTTTGAGTACTGTATTATAAGCCATTTAAATTTCTATACTTAGGCTACCCTGCTCATCCATAAAGTGGGGGTAACGACGTGACAGCAAGGAGGTAAGCTAAAGGCATTTCATATGACAAACTCAGCTTTTAAGCATAAGCTGACATATTTCCGTACATATTTATAAGGCTTCTTGGTTATTATTAGGCTGTAATTGCAGTTGTTCTAACACCTAATAAGCCACGGTTGGAAAAACAAAAGCAGGTTAATTTGTGATTTCCTCTACTCATTCAGAGGCAAATTAAGTGTCAAACAGCTAATACAGAACATATTTCATTTTATGAGATTTTAATTTAATTCTGCACCATATCATTGATGCCTTAATATAGGGTGGTTTATCTAAAAAGAGGGGCAATTTATAAACCTTTTCAATAGAATCTTTAATGATGGAATATGATAGCATAATTACCGTAGTGCCTGCCATCCTTCTAAACACTGGTCTGTCGGCGTTTCCAACAACACAGATCCTTGTTTGGCAGAGACTTATAATTTAGTTTCTAAAGTTGGCACCAGAAGGACAATTGTGTTTACAAAATAATGAGAATATCTCCAAGTTTTATCTTCTTGTAATTAAAAATATTCACTCTAAAAGCTTAGTAAGCTCACTTGATTTCATTTTCTAGAAGACAATTTAAAGGCAAGCATTTTGGAATTCAAATTCTGGAAAAGATACTTTTATATTTTACAGTTACTACTTTGAAGACTTTGGAATATGGGCCACATTTGCTATCAAAATACCCAGGTTTAACAATCACAGGTACACCCTTATCACCTGTCAAAAGGGGTATAGGCAGCTAGGGTCATCATGGAGTTAAGACCAGAAGAAATTTTGGGTCCCATATACATTAACTCTGAGCATGCATTTAGAGAGCTAACCTTTGCAAAGTGCATGCATGATTGTTCTTTTATTGAGTCCTTCCTAGAAAGTAGATTGCTTCATTTCAAAAAAGTGAAAGGACCATACCAAGGGGAATTTGCCAGAGTCTACAGCACAAGTGAGAGGCAAAACCAAAGGATAATTCAAGCATCTTGATAGCTCTGCCACCACCTTAAAGACTGGACCAGCTTGACTGTCCACTGAACACCATTTATATGTCTGTCATACACTGAGAACTTTCCACAAACTAGCAAAGAGCAAAAAGAAAGCCACAACAATAAGTAGGTACACATGAGACGCTACAGACACAGACTCTGGGATAATATGAACATGAGACACGGCTCATCATGCAAAGGCATTGAAGACAATGCAATAAGTGTCATGCTACAAAAGGTGTGGAGATGTGACTTGCTCTAAATTCTACAGCCAATGTTATAAGCTCATTATTCACCCAAGGATCTGCTAGGACAAGCTCAAGTGGAAGAATCCTAGAGAACTACAAACAATAGATCCATGTTCCACACCCACAGCCACAACATTCTCTCAACCATTGGTACTGTCAACCAACCTCTGTATCACAACTGTGTGATAATTATACATGTAGGGTGTTCAAGAACAATTTAGTCAATTACTGCTGAAGTATCTTAAAACTTGGCTGAAAAATAACAAAGCACTGGGAATCTCAGAAAGCCCAGCTCAGAGTTATATCTGAAGGAAAAGTCCATGGTCAACTCACAGCTCCTCTACAGACGACTTGTGTCGTCTTTACTATGAACTCAAGTAGGGCCTAGAACATACAGCAGGGGCTAAAGGAGGCTTTGCTATTACCATAATTCTGCTAGAGAACCAACAGGTGGAGTTTTTAATTGATAACTTTCTATTTGAATTTACTTCTAAAATGAACTATAATAAGTCCAGAGGAAAGAGTTTGGCATATTATTTAAGGTCAGTTAAAAAAAAAATCTCTAGGACATGGTTTTTGAAAGAGTGAAGGACTCCCAGATTCTGCAGAAAATCTTATTAAATTACTTCATCAGAAAGACTCAAATCTGAGAGGAGCTAGCCACCTTTGTCTCTAACGCATGTATGATCTAGATACAAGCATAGAACCCCTTCTAAGATCCATGTGGTCCCGTCCACAGCAAACAGATTCTGTAAGACCAGGCAAGTTATGTGTCATCTTGCAAACTCACAATTACAAATCCACTTCCCTTTGTGTAGGAGAACTTCAGTTGATCCTTTGGTTTTATGTGAGTGTACTTTTAGCAGGCTTCAAAAACCCTGTAAATACTTGCTTGTGTTCCAGTAAAAGTCAACAGAAGAATAAGTCACAAGTTCTTGCATTTTCCCTCTGTAAATACCCACTTCTTCTGCAACGCTCACAGAGGTCTCAATGCAGATTTATTACTCACCTCCAGGCAAATCCGAACTGAAATTACAATTCAGTAATGGCGGATGGATCCAAAAAGCAGTTGGTAAAATATTATATGTGTACTTGGGCATGCAGTTAGAACTGTTAATATCAATTAATTCTGCTCACAGAGGAGGACTTGTTTTAAAACAACTTCATTTTTCTTCAGCATACCATGTAATTACACAGCTGTAACTAATAGTCAGAGGGATGCAATCTAGCATCTATATAACCAGCATTATTCTTCAAAGTATTATTCGTGCTTTTCTAACTCCACTGTCTCAGAACAGAAGGTGATTATTACATATGACTACATATGTATCAAGGCCATTAGCAGGGAACAGCCCCTTGTGGAGAGTGCAGCCAATTATTATAGTATATGACAGTTTTCTGGATGGTACTGTAGAACACTGTTCTGTTAGTTTGTAAATCCACGGTTCTTGTTCTTTCCCCTCAATCAAGTGAGATAATATTTATTTCTATGAAATTTGCTTTTTCTTTGTCTAATACATTTTATACACATTCTTTTCTTTTATCTTGTGTGAATCATGTGCTCCATTACATTTGCCATTTTGTTTGGGTGATGTTGGCATCAATCAAATGACTGTTGGTATATACACCATGGGGACTCTGAAAATCCTCCATAAATGTTCCATTTTTATTCATTATAATCACTGGATCAGAACTTTCACATAACAAAAATTTTAGCACGTAGAACTTCAGACCTAAATCACAAGCATACACATATTATAAGTGGTAAACTTCCATTAAGGTTTAGCTTTAACCCTTTCACTTAAAGTTTACAACTCACAGCTATTTGAAGACAGCAAAATATTAGACAACAGTTGCCAGCTAAAGCATGTGACAGGCATCCCCAAAAAGCACAGGTCTGACTCAGTATATCTAGGAACAGACAGACCTTTCCCAGGTTTTAAGTGTAAATCTTACACTGTTATCACACTTTCAAAGCCCAGAGGACATGCATTAAGAGTCAATTTAATAAATGGGCAACATTTTAATACTTACACATGTAATGGAGGAATAGGAGATGGATCATAATGGTAACGGCCCTCATGATGTCTGGCATCAATTGGTACAGGAGGATGGAAGGCAGGGAAAAGATGAGGAGGGTCTGAAAAGGAAAGAAAGTATACCTTACATAAAACGAATACTTTGTGATAGCATTTCAACTCAAGACAACTTCACTGCATGAAATCTCTTTTAAGAATTTCAAGAGCTGAGACCAAAGAGATGAATCAAGAGAACTTGCTGCTCTTGCAGAGGGACCGGAGTTTGATTCCTAGCACCCATGTCCAGTGGCTGAAAACCCCTTGAAACTCCATTTCCAAGGATCTAATGCCTTTGCGTAGCTTCCATGGGAACCTATAATCTTATGCACACAGCTCCATACAGACACACACTTACACATAATTAAAAATATAACCTTAAAAGTGAATTTCTAGGATAGTTATTGGAAAGTGAATGAAAACACTCACTGCCATACTATAGAAATATGACTAGGCAAATAATACAAACATGCTCTAGAGAAAGTAGAGACTATGAATGTACCTAACCCTTACCAGAAAAGCAAGAATAAGAGGGAAAGCCTGGCTTCCTACTCTGGAAGGAAGGTTTCCCAGAGAGAAGAGAAGCAGGAGACACAAAACCAGGAAGAAAATTATATTGTCAAGTGAAATTTTAAATGAATGCACTACAACATATTAATGTATTAGTGTCATGCCCTTGGTATTTTTTTAAAGGTGTTCTTCCTATGGTTTCTTCTGATATCTATGTATATACATTCACATACATATACATGGTTTTAAAAATTAAATGTATATTTCTTTGGCCTAAGTTATGCCTTCAAATTTCCTTGTCTCTGCAAGTCTGACCTGCTATATAAATTGAAAAGAACTCGAATGGGTTTTATAGCAAGAAGTATGACTTATAGTTTGTACTGTTTTGTCTAAGTTCCAAGGAATTAAATAAAAGACACCAAAACCTGTCCCTTTAGCACCAGTGCTAAGTGATATTACAGTAAATATGCCCAAACATGATCCTTAAATACTGCCCTTGAGCACTGGCACACACAGCAGAGCATTCCTAGGGACTGCCGTGCACAGCAATAAACCTTAGAATGGTACCCAGCTACTTCAAGGTTTCTGAAATTACAATTAGCAAGTTTAAAGGCAAGTCAAACAGATGCCCAATAAGCAGGTTTTGTGCAACCAGATCAGTTACTGGAAGGTACAAAACCAGGTAACAAGGTCTGGGAAACTGTGCCAAGTACAGCAGACAAGTGTGTGAAATGGACCTCCTGAGTCAGCAACGATGAACACTGACTAAGAATGCCAAGTAATAAAAGTTAAGTGGACATGGTGACTATTACACTATAGAATCCAAAGGAATCTAATTTTATTCCCTCTAGATCCACCTCGTTCACATTTTTTTCTCAATCCTTCTTTTAGAATGTAAGCTGTGCTCCCCCTTTGGGTGGGGGAATCTCCTTGCAGCATTCCTTTAAAGATCTAAGTATACTTTACAAAAAAACAGGAGAGAAAAACTGTGAGTGTGCACTGACTGAACACATGTGGCCCACTACGGAGAGGCCCCAAACTGCATTTTCGCTAGTATCCCACAATGGTCGAAACCTAGAAAATAGTACAAGGGGGTCTATGGACCGAGCAATGCCACTTACTCAATGAGTTTCTATTGTAGTATCAAGCAAGGAGGGAGTGAACAGCTTAGAAGCAGAGAAGGAATTAATTTGGCATTATCAAATCAGTGTCACTGTGGTATCAGATGGGGTCATCTGATCACTTGTCATGTTTCACACAAGGCATAAGTCCAGATTGAAAAAAAAAATCGGTTGTGTTTTAACAATTAGTATTCAACGATGGAAGCCAGTTCTCCTTAATGATGGAAGCATCATTAAGCTTGCTAAATTTGAGTTTATCAAACAAGTTTATTCAGCCATGTGGCAAATTTACTGTCACGCTTAACTCAGAAATCCTGAGATGAAAACCACCCTATGGAAAGGCAAAACACCCTAATTTATTTAAACAGTTTTGATGAAAGCTGTCTTATCATCCTCCTTAAGACAACATGGAACAGTCTTTGAGACTCATTGGAAAGTTTCATTCTCACTGAATGTGTCTGAGACTTTGAATTTTCAAACAAACCCACAATAATCACAATCAAACCTATAAAGACAGGTGACCAACAAATATAGGCAGTCTCCTGTTCCTATCCACACCAAAACAGGCTTGGCTCTGCAACACCCCACCCTGTGCATGTTATCAATCTTGGAAACAAAAGGAACACATTTAGTGGAACTGTGTGGGAATGGCTCATCTGAAGGGCTTCTCAGATGTGCCTATCTAGGGCAGCACTGAGACAACTGTGTTGGAGTTGGAACGTTAGAGTTTTACTCCCTACATTTCAGTTCCTGACTGTACCGTTAACATTAACCCACCAGATAAGGGGGTACATTTTGTTGTTTCCATGTGGGTAGCAACCATGAATTATGTCTAAATTCAACACTGTGTTTCACACACAGAGACATGAAGTGTGTAAAGGTATCCATATTTAACAAATACCTCCCATATCCAAGCAAAATGTCATTACCTTTTATATGAATATGTATAATGAAGTTGCAGAGATTATGTACATAGGAAAGGGGACCAAACAGTTAACCCAATAAAATTAAGAGTACCAAGTGAGTGTCACAGTTCCTTCCCTGTGACAGCGTACAACTCGGACTACTGACCTTGATGGCATTTTCCCATCTTGTCACTTTCAAAAGTCTCATTGCAGTTTTAGTCATGGAAGGAAAATATCAAACACAACAGATGACATCCTCACCTGTTAAGTTTATAGAGTTTTGCAAGTATGAAAGTTAATTCTAAGTCCATCTTGCAGCACTGTTTACATTAAGCTCAAGGAAACGTAAGAATTATTCATTCCTGAATTGGGTCTAAATAAAGAACAGAAACTTAATAGATGTGATGCTAATGTGACCATAAGACAATTGGCTGGTGTTTAGTGCTTTGCAATTCATATGCTTTCCTACTGATTTAGTTTAAACAGAATTTTCTGGACTGTTGAAGCCCATGTGAACAGTTTGAACTTTTATTGTGTGTTCATGGAAATCACCCTCCTAAGCCACTTTTTGGCAACTGGGAAAGACAACCCCTCTTCTGATTCAAAGCATGCTTGAAATAGCCTGAAATGATAAAGAATAAAATTAAGGACAGGCACCGCTCTAACATGTGGAAGTGACCCCAACATTCCTCAGAAGACCATCCTGAGTCCAAAACTCCGGCCTCACCTTGCATCTTGGTCTGTTGTTTCTATGCACAAGCAGCATATTCCATCACAGACCCAAAAAGCTATCCAAGAAAACCCACAACACAAGAAAAGGTTCCCGTTGCCTGCAGCCATCATAATCGGCCACCTTGAGGTTTATTTTTTTACACATGAGCAGTGCAGCTAGGCTGCATCATAACTCAATATATGTGTAATATGTTATAGCACCATAGCCATCTTTTGCCCTAGGATGTGACAAAACACTCTGTGATGACTTCTCCAAAGTCAGGCGAAAACTGCTGAAGCAGAAGGAAGTGCCACTAAACCTGGCTACCTCCTATTTATCATACAATTTCCTGACTGATGGTTCCACAAACCAGCTGTTAAGTGCTGTGTACTCTGCTGTCAGCAAACTAACGCGCTAAATGGAAGACAGGGAGAATAATGCGGCGAACTGGTAGAATCAATTTTACCAAGAGAATTAAAATTCTAGCAGGTAGGGGTGGGTCTCCAGAGCCGTGGTGAGCAGTGGAGTGCACTATAAACAAGCATGGCTGCAAAGATAATTTATTACAGATTTGCATAAGGTTTGACTGTAGTACCAGAGGCCTCTTATACTCAACATAGATTTGAAAGGTGTGTCTCACCAGAGTCCTTAGTGTAAAGGGTATGTAATTGGCGTATATACCTTTAAATAGAAGTGCATGGTAAAAATATTTGAGCTGGGTAGAGTTGTCAGTATTCAGCTTCACATTGCCTGTCATCATGCTAAAGTATTAGGAGGTTCATTCGAAATGAGAGGCACTGAGTTTGAGGTCTCTTCATAAGAGCATGGGTTGAGCATAAAACCTACCGCCAGGGAATAACCAAGGATAGATACATGGAGACTGAACTTCAGTTGCAGTCCTCTCCCAAGAAATAAATTTTAGTATCCTCAGGCTATCAGATCTCTTGGATGCCATCCTGGGAAACCGTCTTTTAAGGTTTGAAATTTACATACAAAAATTGTAGATTAAAAAAAGAGAGATCAAAGTCAACTCAGTTCGTGCCCTGAAGGAGTAATTCACCAAATGATGCCAGAGTGGCCTGATTGCCCAGGAGGCAGTAGATGAGAAATCAACAGAAGTAAATGGCCAGGTGCAGAAGTCCTCCTGGTTGATATAGATACCAAAGTGGTCTGGCTTGGGACTTTCAAGACCAAAGCTAAAAATGCTATACTTGATATTAGTCACCCCTGTACTTGCTGTCAGTAAAAAGATCATTAAAGGGATTCACAGGCTTCTGTGTTGAAATCCTCTGTACTAAATTCAATAAAAATCCCCACCCCATATAAAATAAGGTCTTAAGTTGGGTAAGAGGGAAGAATCAGGGAAGGAAAAACAAAAGCAAAGGAATGATAGAAGCACCCCAGACCTTACCACAGTTTCGTTTGAACTTGAGGTATATTCAGTCATCATCTCTTCCAGGGTCCAATGGCACAGACATTGTAACAACTGACTTCAGGATCCAGACAGATTCACTAGTTCAGAGTCTTGCTATTCGTGCCTTTGGACACCATGGCACCAAGGAGAAATTGATGTGGCCCCTCAGGAGACATTCTAGATACTTTACCACAAACCTTAAGTCTTGAAAAAGACAGTCTTTGTTTCTCTATGGTCTGCTGAGAGAAACCTAAGGAGTCCAACTGCATATGGATAGAATAGGCCTGTTCAGTATCCCTGTAGCATCACTTCACAGAACTTCCCATGAAGCCCCAAGATCCTGTTCTTAAATGTATGCTGTATAGAGTTTGAAACTTAGAAGTTTCATGTTTATACAGCACAA